CCAATTCCATAAAGAAGATGGGAGCCATAGAAGTGCTCACCGGGACCGCAGGAGAGATCAGGAAGCAATGTCGTGTTGTGAATTGATGAAATGAATATAAAATTAAGATAAATGTCAACCGTATTATTTGTGTTTTTTTTAGGTACAGTTGTACAACAGTATTATTTTTTTCATTCTCTCAGTTCTTCGGTTTCATTAGTTACTTTTTTTTATACACTATATCTATAATAAATTATATAATGAAGGAATCATTAGTGTTTATGTTTTGTATTTAGACTTAATTCAATAAATCATTTATTTACTATTAATCTTTTTCTTTTGTTTTGCTTCAGAATATTTATAATCTTTTAAAGTTATATATTAATTTTTATGATTGTTTTATTCACATGATTGATGATGGTTTATACCATCACTTATGTGATATCACGTAAACAAAACATGAGTTAAATAGTTTTATTTCTTTTATTTTAATTGGATTATTTAATTAAATTATATTACAATTTAATTATTTATATTGTTATGAAGTTGGATACGAAGAGGCGAGAATTTTACCTCTTTTCAGGCCATGTGACGTGGACTACTGAGAATTTTGCCATTGAAGTTGTGTTAAATAAATGAAATTAAAATAAATTTAAAAATTAATAATAATTTTGCAAAAAATTAAAATTTTAAATTAAAATTAAAAAAATCAATAATTAATAAATAATTTATCAAATTAAGTCCTTATGTTTATTTTGCGCTTTTTTTTTGGAATCTTATTTATTTGATTTGGGCCCATAAGAGATGAGAGGTGGAACGTAATCGACGGCGTGCACATGCTTTGGAAAAGAATCAACCGCTTAGATCACACCGTGTAAGCATCAACGGCTTAGATCATACAGTGTAAGCCAAATGTCATTACTACCCTTCAATCAAGAAAATCTGAAAGAACCTTCACTTTTCCTTTTTCGCTCGTTTCTGTACACTCTCTCTCCTCTCCCATTCTCCCTCCCAATGTTCTTGCTCTAAACGTCGGTGAAATGGGCGGACGGCACCGGAAGAAGCCCTGGTCACCCACCGGCTATCGCCGACCACCGATACGGTGCCATGGCGCCCCTGATTGGTGCTTTACCATTGCCTGAAGGATAGATCTGGCGTTCTTAATCAGAGAAACGATGCCATATTTCCTTTCGTTTCGTAGCGCTGCGCTAGTCCACGGCGCCAACCGGTGTTCCTAGGTGCCAGTGGGGCGATGGCCATCACGACGTCTTCTGGATTGTGCCAGTCGGCATTTGACGATGTCCGCGACTACGTTCAGGTGTCTACACGCTTTCTTTTCTTTTAGTTGATTCTTTCAAATTTATTTTATGTGTCTTTGAAATTGATAGTTGATACGATTCTTATTGTGGTGTTTGTGTTCTAAGAAACTGCGTTTGTTTTTCTTTTTAATATTTGCAAGAGTGACATTTTTTTAATTTTCGGGCTTAAGGAAAACTGGAACCTTGACTATTAAGTTATAATTTTAATTTCAAAGTACAAAACTGTGACATTTTTTAACCTTTGCGAGCCACCGAGAGATATATGTGTACAAAAGTAACCTTTTGGGATTGAAGTACCATAAAAACTTTTGGGCCTTCCGGTGACCCAACCAAATAAAACTTGTAAGTTGTAAGTAATCCAGTTGCAAAAGAGAACTCCTTCTTCTTTATTTTGTTGGGTACAAAAAATTATCGTAGTAACCAAAACACTTTTTGAGGCCCGAAAAAATTTCTGAACAAAAGCGGAATTATTTGAGAATATTTGAAGGTATCGAAATTTTTAAGGCATGAAATTAAAACTACTAAAAAGGATGAAACCTGAAATTAGAAAATTACATTTTTCTCGAAGCTTCACACATTAACTGAGAAATGAAAATCATCTCCTTCAACAAGGCAAAGACATGGCAGAAGAAGAAAGAGGACACAGAGGAAGAATCAACTTATATAACTTTTAGACCTTTGGTAGTGAATTAAGTAGAAATCATACTAGAGAAGAATCAAATATAGACTTCACAAAGATCAATTGATACAAAAAATAATAAAATATCAAAAATCTCTGTGATGAACGCATATAAACAAAGTGAACATCTTATTTTCAATTACATAAAATAAAAGATGGTTAGATTTTAAACAAAATTTCAAAAGAGCTAAATTATATTACTTTTAGACTTTCAGTAGTTAATTACATACAAATCTTCACATGAGAAGGAGGATGAAATATAAACTTGCCTAGCTATCACAGGTAAATGCAGAACAAAATATGGATGCATTTAAAATGAAATGAAAGAACACAATGTGTCTAAAGGATACCTGGGATAGAAACCATTGATTGGAACAGGCTAATATTGCACATTGGATTCATATTTGGGCTTCACATAGAAATGTAAACAGTAATATGTCATCTGCCAAGCTTGCTAAAAGTAAACCTGAGATGATAACATGAAGATATGCATAAGAAAACAATACATCATGCCTTGACTGCTTTAACTAAACCAAGGCAGGAGGAGGAGAATAAGAATAAGATCTGCTTCAACATAACCAAGGCAGGAGAAGTAGGAGGAGGCAGAGGAAGTAATATTACTTTTAGACTTTCACTAGTGAATTAAGTAGAAATCATGCTTAAGGGGAATCAAATATAGACTTCACAAAGATCAATTGATGCAAAAAATATCAAATATCTCAGTGATGAATATACATATAAACAAAGTGGACATCTTATTCTCAATTACATAAAATAGAAGATAGTTACATTTCAAACAAAATTTCAAACGAACTAAATTGTATTACTTTTAGACTCTTAGTAGTTAATTATGTACAAATCTTCTCACGAGAAGGGAGGATCAAATATAAACTTCATAAAGATCAAATGATGCAAGACTATCATCTACTGCCACAAGAAACACGAGCATGTCTCAGGCAACTTGTCACAACTCACAACTAAGTCATATTCAAGAACTATTTTTTCTTATATA